TCAAAACGCTACAGCATGTATTGCATTATATATTTGCCAGCTTATCTATCCGTTGATTTTTAATAATGTGGCATGAAATTTGTTTAAATTGATTGTCTCCGGTGATTGCAGATTGATCTATATAATATGAAGAATGTTATCTATAGGCCTGCAGATGTACAGGACATAATAATGTTACTCTTTCAGGTCCCAAAAACACCCAAATTAATGAAAATTTAAATGAATATTCATGAATTATGTGTTTGAGAAATCTATTATGAAGACCCTTAAAATGGTACTTTGTCGCTTTTCTCACAAACCCCCCCCCCCCCCCCCCCACCAAATTTCAAAAAGTCCACTTTTTAAAACCTATTATTTCACTAAAATCGTTCCTAATTATCGCGAATTGCTACAGTATGCATTACATTTTTTAGCCCGCTCTTCTACCTGTTGATTTTTAATAATGTGCTAAGAAATCTGTTAGAAATTATCAGCTCCAGTGATTGTAGGCCTACAGATGTAAAGGACATGAAAAATCATAATTTCACAGTGGTGGATTTAAGGGGGAGAGCACCCTAAAATTATAAAAGAAATTGAGAAAAAAGAAAAATCAGAATTAAAGTTTGTCTGAGAGTGCCATTTCCGGCCACTTTGAGGTGCCATAATCATAAATTTTCTTAACTCAGCCCCAACCATGGTGGGGCTGAGGTGGTATTGACCATCTGTCTGTGCAAGTTTCTCTCTTCACCTCACCCTCTATTTCTCCTGCTTTACTGTAGGTCCCTAGACAATACTCAAATGAATGAAAATTTAAATAGGATATTACAAATTATGGATTTTAGAAATCCATTAAAAAAGGCCCTCAAAATGCTAATTTGTCAGAGAAGATTAACCCCACCCTCGCGGGGAGCGATTCTTTTTCGTACGCAACATTTGCATGAAACTCCACTCCGCTCGTCTCGGATTGATTCGACTTGAGTTTGATACGAACAAGAGCAGGTACTTCGCAATGTCGTGACGCTCGAGTATTACCTTTACTTTACTGTACTGTACTTTTTACTTTTACTGTTTTTATGAAATCTTACCGGTTTATGGGATGTAGGCTACGTCTGTAACTAACTGTGAGCTTCTTGTATGTTTGTTATCAAATGTACTACAACAACAAAAACAGCTGGTACCCCCTTCTACAGTATTGTAGTACCAGTGGTAAATAGGGTACTGTACATTCCTATCAAAGGCTAGATCAAAAGAGGCTCAACTTGTGGGCCTAGTTACAAGCTGAGTTAGATCCTCTGTTAAAACGGCCCCAAGTCAACTCGGCCCCATGTCAACCAACCCCAAGTCCACTTGGCACCAAGTATATTGTTATTATCATTATAGTAGTTATTCTATATACCTTTGTATAATTTTTATTACCTAATATCATTTTAATATTATTTTTATTAATGCAGTTTTAATTATTGTAATTGCATGTAAATGAAAATAAATAACAAAGGCAACGGTTTAAAAACACTTTAATTTTGGCTTTGCATTCAAATCTCTCGGTAAATATTCAATAAACACCATACACAGTAAATTGGGGCCCGAGTTGATTTGGGGCCGAGTTGACATGCGGCCGAGTTGACTTGGAGCCCAGTTGACATGGGGCCGAGTTGACTTGGGGGCCAGTTAATTGGGGCCGAGTTGACTTGGGGCCGAGTTGACTTGGGGCCGAGTTGATTCGAATTCGTCATGACATACAGTAGGTACTTAAATATTTATCCAAAACCTAGGCCAACTAAAAAATAAAAATGTTCACAGTATGTAACTCAAATTCAAATAAGGCCTACTTTTTATTATTCGTGCAGCGAAATCAAATATTACATATGTCGTGTTAAATGACTCATTATATTAGCATGGTAACATCAATGTGTTTTTTTCGAAATCAGACAGCGAGCAGCAATCTCAAAAGTTTTGTAGACGTTTATCTTTGGTTGATGACCTTTTGACCTGCAGAATTGAGATTTTCGAGTCGAGTCAGTCGAGACAACCCGAGTGGAGTTTCATGCAAATGTTTCATACAGAAAAAAAATCGCTCGCGACGATCCCTAGGCAGTCGCCCATCGTAAGGTCCACTTCGGTTGCAAAACGCACCTCCCCATCGAAAATCCTGCCTACGGGCCTGAATTCTAAAGGAATGATTAAGAAAATAAATATTTAAGGATTATAACCATGGGAGAGGTTGGTACAGCAGTTGCGTTTTGGCCTCTCAACTTTGAGGTCAGAGGTTCGAACCTTCACTGTGCAAGTCGCTTGTGTCCTTGGGCAAGGCACTTTACCTACAGTATGTTGGTCTCTCTGCACCCAGGAGTATAAATAAGTACCTGGTAGGATGATGTGGCATTGAATGTATTACTATTAGTTTGTATTGGCATTAAATTGCAAATACGACTAGAAGACTCCCCAGCAAGTGGAGGAGGTTGCATTTTGTGCTGCTTTGATATATGGATCCAATGACCAGGGGTAATAATAACATCATTGCCAGCGCCATGTATCCGTATTGTTAATTTTAAATATGGTCACCTGCGGCAGCATTTAAAAAAACTATTGATTGGTACTGTTTGGTCATAGAACAAACCAAGTACCGGTAAAATATATATCGATGCTATGTTTTGTTCCACTTTCATGCAGAACAGCCTACTGTACAGCCAAATTATCATAAAGGTTCAATACAGGTATTTGAGGTAAATTGAATACCAAAAATGGACATGTAAACTGGGCACTGAGTACAATTTTGGGGTGCCTATTCTTAAAATTTGCTTCAAACATGGTGAGATTTACGTTGATTTGAAGCCCCTGTCAGGGATCTTAGAGTATCCGACCAGTTATTCGAAATCCAGTTTGCCAAACCCAGTTTGCTGAATCCTGCCGTCACCATCGTACATAAATGCAGCATACTTTGTTTTTGAAAAATGATGTGTGGGTCAGGAAGGAGCTGTATTTATATACATATTAAAAGGCAAAATACTGGAAAAACAACAATTCTGTGGGAAAAACACAACATTTGAAGGCATGGCTATCAGTTGAAATTAGAAATAAAATAAAAGCTCAAGCATCGTATCCCCCTAAAAAAAAACTCTCCCTGCGAACCCTATCAGGGATTTTTATGCCATGGCCTTGACCCAGGCTCTTGTTGGCCCCTTGATTCAGACCCCCTGTCGGAAAATGTCTGGAGCTGGCATGTGTGTATAATTGTAGATAATTGTAGATTATCATTAGTTTATGAATTCCCTTTACTGTAGATCTAAATATTATTCAATTTAACCTTTATTTCAGATCAGTTCCCATACAGTAAACAAAACAAACAAAAACAAGGCCCAGCACCAACAGTATGCAAACAATATAAATAAATAATATGGGCCTGAAGGAAGTCAGTTAATTAATGACAATGCACAATGTTTCTACTGTATAATAGCAAAACTTTATATGTACAGGTAAATAAAATATGCTTATAAGACATTTTATCTGATACTAGGCCTGTTAATTTTTTTGCTGATAGCTGAATTGTTAATGTAATCAAGTTTGATTTACAGAATAGACAAAAAGAATCATTAAACTACAATAAGCCACTATATTATACTGTACGAAAACATGGTAAAAGAGTGCCCCATCGTAAAGGTTGTGCTGTTAATGTTTTACTGCTTTTATTTGACTTTCGACAAAACTGTGTGTTGGCAAACCACGTTTTGGCAAACTAGGATTCATGGTTTTTGAGTCAGCAAACTGGCATTTGGCAAACTAGGTTCCGACAATCTGGTCTAGATTATTGGATCCTCTCTTTAGGAAACTTGAATCCTATGTGGGGGATACTGGATGCCTTATCACTGAATCTTTGGTGCTGCCACTGGTTCTTTTCCATTGCTGCTCTCCTTGCGTTTTTGCTTGAGAGAGTAAACAAGTTTAAAATGGCATACCGTTAAGATAAGAAGCTGTTGGTCCTGTGTGCAATATGGCCCATTTGCATATTTTAAAGAAGCATGTGCTTGTATTACACTGTTGGAAAAAAGTAGGGGATGTCTTCCATCCCAGTGTATTGTCCGGTTCACCACTACAGGGACCCCACTGAAAAAATGTATGTGACGTCCAGTGTTCGGACTATTGTAAGTCATCCTTGATCCGTGTTTCATGCCAAAGACGTCTAATCCAATCTCTGAGCTACAGTACGTATGATGGATCAACAAACATTCAACCTTCCATCGACAAACAACAAGATGATCTGAGATACAATACTGCTACTGTGTATTATTATATCAAGGACATGCAAACTTTATGAGGACCCCATTCAAATTATGTGGCAGGGGCCTATCCAGGATTTCTAGATGCCCGGAAATATGTGTTCAGTTTATTCTGTGTATTACAGTATAACATTTATTTTTGTATTCTATTTTGTATTTTTTTTTAAATTTAAGAAATGGCAGTGGCAAAATGAGGTGGCATATGCCCCCTATGCCTTCTCCATAAATTTCACACACTAAAAAAAACAAAGATATTTATAGTATACCAAATACAAATATCGTATATTAAAGTGAACGTTATAAATCTGTTTGTTTCCTTGTATTTAATTATTTCAAATTTACTTACAGGTTGTGCTGCCAATCCACACTTGACGGTTTTTAATTTTGGGTCACCTTTTAACAATGGTGGCCAGCTCCAGTGCTACCCAACAGATAGTAGCACAACAATAACCATGGGAAAGGTATTCAGAATATCTGATAGTGACTTACTGACTGAAGCAGCTCTACAGAATCAAGGGGCATTTCCTGGTGCTAAGAGACTATACATACCCTATGATGGAAACTTCTTTGGAGTTTATTACTGTAAAGGTGTGCTTAATGGCGAAACAACCATTGTGGAAACTACAGTTGTGGATCTAAAAAACACATTTGATTGTAAGCAGTACTATTTATATATAGAAGGTGAAATTAGTTCACTTCGTTGGTAGTTTTAATGACACATCAATATAGCGTGGCTGTGTGTGGCCAATGAGTAGGAGCACTGTATTATTTATCTATTGATTATCATCAATTGGACATCGAAAAATGACCTCATATTTCTTCAAATAACAGTGTTTGAGCTCTCATTAGCGAAATTGCAAAATCCTATCCTAGACTAAATTTGGCTAAATATTTTAAATCCAACTAAAAGGGTAATGAATTAAAATTCACTGTGTATATTGTATTGTTTCTGTGCTAATCAAGCTTTGGCTAATCATTTTCATACTAGTAAGCTTGCTAAATACGCATTTTCTAGCTCAAAACCTGGACCCTATGTGAGCCTACTGTATCTGGGTGAAATTGATAGTAACCACAGCTTGTTAAATCAATTGTCTTAACAAAATGGCCTTTCATAAAAAATAGTATTATGTTTACAATTTAATTTTTCAATAATTATATAAATAAATAATACTTAGATTTATAAATTGACTTACTTTTCCAGCTGATGTTATACCAACAAACAATAAAACAAGTATCACAGCTTCTGTTGGTGATTCTGTTACTGTATCTTTTGACGTGACAGGATCTGGTAATCACATTTGGAGGAAGGATGGTGCCCAGCTAGATAACTACGAGAACCTTTATGATGATTCAAGCTTAACTTTCAATAGTGTGAGCGTTGAAGATGGCGGAATTTATGAACTTTACTTACAGGGACAAAGGGATGACTACAATCATTCATTTATTGAACTTCTTGTGAGAGGTTGGTTATTCTTATTTAATTTCTAGAATTAATTATACAAAATCATTTTTTATTCTAGGAATATCTAATGGATCAATAATAAAATGTTATCTCACTTTTTACAAAAAGTATCATTTTAGAATGATGGCACTTCTAGATCCCCAGAAATGGCACTCCTATATTTGCACTTGTATGTAATTTAGATATGTCACATTAAAGGTCATACTGTACGTCATACACTATTAAGCATTCTATATTGCACGGGTATGTACTGCATTGAACACAACTTCGGCTTGTGTACTGCATTAAACACATCTTCGACTTGTCAGACTAAAAACATGTATTCAGTGATGAGATTGTGCTAATTTCATGGCCCTCCACCCACCCTTATTAACCCACTTTTCCATCTTTGAAATCCACTCTTATTATTTAGATTTTATTAATGTTATCACCTACTCTACCCACCCTTAAAATGTCTATCATCCACCCTTCGTTTTCTACAGCTAAAACTCTGGTATTTGCTGCTACAATCAATTGCAGCTCATAATATTGTGTTGTCTAAAAGCACCATAGGCCCTACTCAATCCGTTCAATTAGACTTTCGGTCATAAATGTTATACATACATATTTCTCAAAAACCATTGATGCATGGTGTACTAAAAGTTAAATTATTTTTGCCATGCCAACCTTAAAGAAATGTTTTATTTTTTGTTGTTTGAATAGTACATTTTATTGATTACATTGGTTATACATTTTGGGGTAGTGACGTTATTCTATTAGGACTTTTTGGTGAACTGTACACCCCGTCCTAACTGAACTACTGTACAATGTATTGCTTCATGGGGTACAGTAGGTACATTCAGCATCGCTTAAGTACAGTATACCACCACCATACCTGCATCCCTCCTCACTGACAGAACTACAGTATGCTTCTTTGTGTGCAAGGACATTCAGCTTCTATAGTGACATATCCATCTCAAATGCTATATATCTGCTAGTAGTTGCCAAGAAGCCTCCTCACATGTAAGCACATTTGATGAACACTCATCTGTAGATGTAGTACATTTATTCTGCCTCAATTTAACAATGAAACAATTTCAATTTGTAAATCAATCATCTAATATTTTATTTATTTCATTCAGGCTGTCCTGCTGGCCGATGGGATGCACCTCGATGTACAGGTGTTTGTAATAATTGTTATAATGGTGGTGTATGTGATGATGAGACAGGGAAATGTATTTGTCCACCAGGGTTTCAAGGAGAAAACTGTATGACAAGTAAGTTGAAACAATTTATTATTTAAGTTACTTTCATTTTTAATTCTTGTCTATTTTTTAAATACTTACCTCATGCACTGATATCAGTCAGATTTCTGAAGGAGCTTACCGTACTCGCGTGAATTTTTTTTTTTTGCACTTTCTGAGGGGCGCTTAGTCAAACGTGGTGCTTATTTAAACAGGGCGCTTATGAAAACAGAGTGGAAATTGAGGAGGCGCTTATGGAAATAGATGAAAATCAAGGGGTTCTTATGGGAAATTATTAAATTAAAGAGGTACCTGTACTTTTTAAATAAAAAAAGATTATATAAGGACAATATGAATGGTGGTTAGGCGGAAAAGATAATCATCCAGAGAACATGGCTCATGACAAGAATGCGAATGTTTACATAACAGCAAAATAGCAGATGCAATTAGTGGTGGTAGGTAGTGGTTAGCTTGTTGGTCATCGGCCGATTGAGATTAGCAGGATGGCAGGACCATTGTATTTTTTCTTGAAAACTCAGATGAGAATGTGCTAAAGGTCGGAAAAAGAAAAAGAGGAGTAGGACTAGGCATAGACAAATATGTAAAAAGAGTAAAGTTGGAAATATACTAATTGTTCAGGGATCAGAGCTCTCATCTGTCGAAGAGAAATATCCTCATTTTGATATTGTCCTAAGAAGAATGTGTTTCCACTCTGCAGCTCAAATTATGCCAACACCCACAGTCCCAGAATTGATTGGATTATTGACTTGCTAAAAAGAAAATCTTATATTATTGAGGGGGTGCTTATTCAAATTAGAAGGGGCGCTTATTCAAACGGGGCGCTTAAGGAAATGTTTACGTTAGGAGGGGCGGTTATTCGAGAGGGGCGCTTATTCAAATGGGGCGCTTATTCGCGCGAGTACGGTAATGACTTCATTGTTCTGAATTAAATATGCCTCACGAGGCTACTGTAGCTATAACAAGGTGCCTAGTAGCTTTATGTTCACATCATTCCACAATAAAAGGGGCTGAAATGAACCAGTGGCATTGGGTTAAGATCCCTACTCTTTCCAACAAAAGAGATGCTGGGAGTTATTTGAAGTGCTTGCTAGCCAGATGTGTATACTGGACTGGGTCGAAGTGGTTTAAGTCCTTGAACAGACTTGGTTCCACCAACCTAACCCAGGACATACCAAGAACCAGCACCGATGTTAGGGCTGTAATTAGTTGCGTTCGCCACTGTTTTAATACTCAGGCGCTCGACTCGCCATGATGTCATATATGTAAAATACCTCATTTAATTAACACCAATAAAAACTCCTGGAAATCTAACATCTGGGAATTTTTTTTATAATGTTAATGGTATGCTGTGTACTAGCATCTTATTGTCTATGGATATTTTTATTTTGGCCCAGCGTAATAATGCTTTAGTCAGTCTTTTAGACAACTAAATAATTATTTTAAGATATTAAATTGACTTCAATTATTTCTGAAACCTTTTATGTAATAATAATAATAATAATAATAATAATAATTTATTGATTTATTTCTTGACTTACTGTAGCTTGTGGCGGTAATAGATTTGGAATTACCTGTCAAATTAGATGTACACGAAACGAAGCTGATCCCAAAGACACATGTAAAGGCAATCAATTTTGCTTACCTAATCCATATGGATGTGACTGTGTAACAGGTTATACTGGTCTTTATTGTTTAACAGGTAAATGTACATTTCTTGTATAAAACCATATCTATAATAATAATATTATTAGACTTTCATAGCGAATATTGTTAAGACCTTTATTATCATTACCCTGGTCTTTGGATTAAATGCCTGGAACACAAACTCAGCTCCCTGGGAGAGTATTCCATAACGTTGCAGCAGCTACAACAGTGCATTTTGGCATTTAACCCTACCAGGTACCCACTTCTGGGTGGAAGCAAGAAGCAATGCAGATAAGGTGCCTTGCCCGAGAACACAAGTGAAATGCACAGCGAGGGATTGAAACCCCAACCTCGAGGTTGGGAAACCAAACCGTTCTCACTGTGCCAAAATACTTCTCATGTAGTTGTAAATCATTGCATGTGGTGGAGTGGTAATCCACTGATCATCCAATATTGAGGTTGTGAGCCAAAGTCTTACAATGGTTTCTCCTTGTCTTTATGCACCAAGAAATATAAATTGATAATTTATTTTGAATTATTTTTTTTGTTGATCAAGCATTACATTTTGCTGGTTAATTATGTAACCAATATCCAGGAGAAAACATAATTATATTTTTTGTGCAAAAGAGAAAAGCAGACTATCTGAATGTTTTAAATATATTATTAAAATATATTTTATTTAAAAAAAATTGTCTTTGTGGTTTTTATGCAATTATGATTTTTCCCCAAATATTGCTTTTATATTAATGTACTGTATACTGTATGAAAAAGTTGACTTTGGTTTTATGTAGTTTTGTAAATATAAATGTGAAAACGTAAAGTAAATCTAAATGTATACAATCCTTTGTTAAAAGTCAACGAGGACATTTAGATTAGGTTCCTGGGGACCTGTAGCATGCGAAGTGCTACCATGAAGTGCAGTAATTGTATAGATTGTGTTTTCACAATGTTATGATTATTTATAATATAGATTGTTTTTGACATAAGCTATATATACAGTATATACATAGGTTGCTTTTAATATAAAGATGATAAAAATGAACCAGGTGTTTTCTATTCATTATTACATTCAACTCTAGCACCTTTAGTATTTTTTTCCAAATCAGAATGTGACTCTGGCAAATTTGGTGCAGGTTGCAGTCAGGAATGCCACTGTTTGTCAGGAGGATGTAACCGTTATACTGGAGAGTGTACCGGTGGTTGTGCATCTGGATGGACTGGAAGCAACTGCCAAAGTACTGTAGTGCTTTAGAAATATATATTGTTGTTACTGATATCTTTTAATAATTATTGTGATAACTGATAATTTTCATTGCTGTTTTTTTTTTTAATAGTTTTTGGTTTTTTTTTTTTTTTTTTTTTTTTTTTTTTTTTTTAACATCTCTTCTTGAATAGAAGCCTTTAAATTCTCCATTGTTTAATTTTATTCTGTAAACATTTATTTACAAAATTTGTAATTGTATTAGTATAATATCAACACTTGGTTTTTTATCTCAACTGTTTATACAATAATTTCTATTTTTTCTTTTTTTTTCTTGCAGTTCCAAGCAATTGCCCTGTTGGCTATTTTGGATCAGCTTGTACATTGATTTGTCATTGCCATGATAATAAGGAATGTATTAGGGATACTGGTGTGTGTAGTAATGGAAAGTGTGCAATAGGGTACAATACAAATGACAATTCTGTTTGTGAAGGTAAGTACAGGGTAACGTGGAAGGATAAGAAAAAACACTGTCTTCACAAATGAATTAAAAACAAATAATTTGTGGATATTGCTGGGCCATATACTAAATCGTAGAAATAACAGGGAATAATTTTAATTGTAGGAGGTGGGGATTTTGGGAAAAAAACCTGAAGTGGGAAGGAACGAGTGCATTAATCAGCAATTCTTAGTTAAATTTGCAGAGCCAAACATGACTGCAGCTAAAATAAAGCATTTAAAAGAAATTTACATTAAATTAATTTTTCTAAAAGTCAATATTTATACATTTCAAATTTAGCATTCCTACTCTAATAGATACTATTTTTTTTTGTTTAACTTCCTAATGTATTATTTTAAGCCCACCTGTTGTTGGTGGCTAAATTATAAGTCATATTTGTATTATGCATTTACAGTCAGGATTTGAGAACACTATAGGATTATGGCATGTTAGATATCCGAGCTGTTCAGTCTGGGGAGCTGCAACCTACAGCCATAATATCGGCGCTCGTTCGAATGGCTCACTTGCCAGTGGTTCTGGTGGTAGAACAAGTCTTCTCAGATAAGGACTATAAACCACAGGCCCAGAGCACACAATTTGGCTCGTGTGCACTTAAAAAACCCCAGTACATCTTTCGTGACAAGTAGGAGGTTACCCCGGTGTACTGGTCTATACAGCTCCTGTTGTGGACAGACGAGAGTAGTTGGTACCAGTTTACCGGGTAGCTCCGACATGAAGAGACCCTTCGGGAGAAGCAAGTTACTGTACGAGCTAGTCCACATTTCGAGCGCTTTGAGATTTCTGTATAAAGCACTATATAAATTGAACTACATTACGTTACATAGGAAACAGAAGCCGAAGGAGCCATTATTTCCTGACAAAATTACCTGAAGCTTGCCGTGTTAAAGGCAATTTTTGATGGAAATGGTGGCTCTATTTCCTATAGTATACAAAATTACTTGACTATAATTGCTCTTAAGTCAGTTGTAACGTCCATCACCTTTTCTTGATCAAACTGCTAGTTGTACAATCAACAGGTTGCAGTGACTGGTTGTTCGGTATCAATACAGTACATTAACTGTGTGTATGCATTACCTATGCATGATAATGATTTATTAGTAGTATGCACACTGGCAACTTCACAGCTCGTCGCGATATGAAGAAGATGAATAGATTGATTGTAGTTGATGAAATTGATTAGGTAGGCCTAACCTCCTGGTAGAAATTCTTGTTTAATAGATTTGTATTGTACAGTGTAGTAAATATTATTGTGAGTATTTCTGCAAGGTCCAGTGATTAATCTCAGATAAGATAGTATAATATAATACATACTTATCGAAATGCACTGCCTAGGATGGTCTTGGCTTCATTCGTGTAATAGCCAACACTGTAGAGTGAGACTTTTTAAGTTCCCTGTGTGTGTCATAGCTTGGCCCAGCAACAAAATATACATTGCGATGTAAAATCACCCCTATATTTGAGCTTTTCGCACACAAGATGCAAACAAATCAGCACTATATTGAATTAATAATTTAGAGGGATTAGGAAAATTACATGCAAATGAAAATGATGATGTCAGTACCTGCAACTATAAAGGTGCACTGGGTTCAAGTCTATCCCCATACCATGTAGGTATTATTGAGGAGATTACTCAAAAACACTTCGCACACAAGCGCTATGCAAGTGAGCCACCAACAAAGCTGCCGCAGCGCGTGAAGAACATTGCGTGATTCATTTGAAATCTAGTGTGTTCCCCGCCACTGTTCAGCAGGCTTAGTTTACCAAAAAATTTAACATGCCGAAATGGAGAGCACCTTCTTTTCTCAATGCGCACTACTTACAGTCAATCACTATAGCTGCGCAATTGTTTCCATCTTAAAGCTAATACATTTATCTTTTGAAGAAATACCAAACATATTAATATTTCTACTAAAAAGAGTTTCGAATTTAATGAAACATTTACATGAGCTGTAAAAGTATGGTATATTTCAACTTGAATTTCCATAAATTGGATAAAACTCGATAATCCTAATTTTAACATATTGATTAAGAAATAATTGAGGGTTATAATAAACTAAGTCATTTTAGTGTAAACGAGTGTGAACTATTCGAAAATTCAATCCAAAATCAGATTAATTTTCAGTTTTACGCTGCCTTAGCTTTTAGATGAACAAACCGATCTTTAGACAAAATTATAATGAACACAGAAGTAATTGTAATAGAAATATTTTGCAGAATCTGTTCCTGAAATATACACATAATAACATACTAAAAGTCCGAAAAAATCCAATCAGGTGAACATTGTTAATTTTAAAGATATTTACTGAGTTAAAACCAAATGGTTTATCGCACAACTGCCCTGTTGAAGAGTATAAAAGCATGTCATTGTTAAGTTGCTGCTAACTAAAGAAAAGTTAATGATAAGATAATACACCTGCGCATAATTCAAAGGCAGGGAACACATTGGTATGTCGCATGAAAGGGATCTTTTGTCATGTGATCTCTGTTTCAATAAATACCTCCATGGTCATACAACCCTACTGCTTTTCATTTTCCCAAATGTTCACTTGGGTTCTCACAAAAAAAATAGACCATCCGCCCCAGCATTGCGCACGACCACTTACTATTGATTCAAATTATATCTATTTATAGATTAAGAAAATGACTTTGCCAGACAAGTTATTCCAATTTAAGGTCTTACTTCTATGTACAGAATGTTCTATCATTTATTGTGAATTTGTTATGTATAGCCTGCCAACCTGAGAGCTATGGTGAAAACTGTGCTTTGACTTGCAATTGTGATTCTGACTCTTGTCACCATGAAACTGGATGTAATGGCGGTTGCCGTAGTAATTGGTTGTTAAACACCTGCACTACAGGTACGGAAAATCTACCAACCAATTTTTTTTTTCAAGCAACATTTATTTTGTAGAGGCACGATAATATATATTAAACCCAATAAATATCTAATTGACCTATGAATGAAGGTGCATCTTAGACAATAAATGTACAATGTGCTAAGTCAGCCATCAGCTACATCCATCTCATCAATTTTATGTCTATTTTATACAGTACTTTAAAAAAGTTATCTTTATATATGCCTCATTCAGTTTTGTAGTATTAAATTGATTGCTTCATTTGTTAATAGTTCAACAATTACCAATAATAAAGTATTTATTTAAAGCAACATTCGGGAGCTTTAGATTGGTGGTTAAAATAAAAAGCTTTGTTAATTTAGCTAAACAGTTTGAAGCCACTGTGTGTACTTTGGTTCAATTTTATCCCCTACTCTGCTTTTTGTTTCAATTCGAGGGTCAATAGTGCACAGTTTTTTCGAATGAGACATAATCCCATGTGCACATTAAAGGACACAGTAAACTCTTTGGTAGAGTAGGGGATTGTCTGCAGGTGTTCTGCCCAATATAACACCAGATGGACACTACTCTAATCTTAGGTTGGTTGTCCTTAGTTGATTAAGGGAATCTAATCTAAGTTTGATTTCTAGTTTTGTGGTCCTGCAGTTGCAAATCTTCTAAAAAACCGGAATGTTTCTCAATATTAAAACAGCTCCACTCCATAAGCTTGATAATACTGGGCCCTGTGGGAAAACAATAGCTTGATACTGAAAAGCTTTCCCAGTTTAAATGACAGTTACATGGTTTAATTAATTTTTAACATCCTGGGTACACATCTTTTCAGAACAGCTCAATTCCCTTAAGCCTTACTGTATAATTAGACTTTGTTTAGGCCATTAAAAAAATTCTTTTGTTGGCCAACGTTTTGGGAAAATCCAAAAAACAGGTAGGAAAAGTTTAAAAAAAAATCTATATTGAAGAGCAAAACAATCGCATAACAATATTGCATCGCCTACCGTCGCAAGATAAGCTGGACCTTTTTAGTTCATTAAAAAAATATTTTTTGTTGTAGTAAAAAAAAACTCAAATGCTGAACCTCAATTTCGAACTTTTTAAAAATTTATTTGCCCTTACTGGACTCTATGGGAGAATAGTAGCTTGCTATTGAATATTCATCTCTGTTAAGGTAAGAAAAAAATAAAAACAATAAACAAACAAACAATAGCAATTATCAAATATAACTCTTACAAGAGGCAATATCTTTTTATCATAATTTATATATGTTTATATATCTTTTATTCCTGTTTTTATTTGCTACTCTAGGAATAATTTCAATTTCTAACACAAAAGTTAATCCAGGTCAGATGTCCACATTTCAATGTGACATTCAAGGTGATGTAACTGGCACTACCATTCAGTTCCTTATTGATAGTCAACCTGCTGCACAAACTGGACGCACAGAATCAAATGGAGTTACAACAGTTTCATTTACCGGTGAAGCAAATCCTGATGCTGCATATGTTTGCCAACTTACTAAGGATTCTTATATGGCAAGTGAAACTCATTCACTTACTACCTATGGTAAGTTTCAGTCATTGACTATTTTCATTACTGATGCCAGCGCCTTGTGTATTCTTCTGATTGTGATAGGCGCTATATAAAATTGGATTTAAAAAAAAATGCTAAAGTTCAATGGTTTTTTTCGTGTTTGCATTTTTTCATTATTATTACAGGAAAGTAAGTTTCAATGATTGTATATTTTTGACAAATAAAGAATTTTGTATTTAATGGTAATAATACTAATCATGGTATATTGGCACATGGCACTTTTTATGTATTTTTATGTAGTTTTTTATATTTCTCTTCCCCTTGGGTGTATTTTTTGAATATATTGAAATAGAATTAATTGAATAATATTGCAGTTCTTTGATATTTTTTTAAAATTTATTGTATCATTTTTCCTCAATTCACCAAATTTTAAATTAAACTATTTAATATGTACTCAACATACCTTCAAGTGTAGTGGGTTCTGATGGTGGATTAGTGATTTAGAAATTATTCAACATTCTTTATAACTAGTATTACCAACATACAATGAAAAACCAGCCGCAGAGACGATTACTGGATCTTCAGTGAAATTGAGGTGGAGGGAATGGAGTACCATCAGTGGAGATAGTGG